GCGGAAATGCGTAGTTGACGAATTCGATTGTTTTCATTTTATTCAGTTTCACTTCATTGAAACTGTTTACGATTAATGGAGTGTGTGCTGCCGAACATTATCAAATTTGTCTAAATGATCACATTTGGAAAATTAAATCACAGAATAATAGTATGTATACATATGAGACGAAACAAAGTGACACGTGTAAAGCTATGGCAAATAAACAGGTTCCCCACTAACCTTTTCATAATTCCTTCCAATATACGATGACTAAGGATATTTAGTTAGTGCGGTTAGTATGGATTCCGTGAAGTCTCTGTGAAACAAAATTAGAGAGCGAAATTCATCGTTAGTGTGGTTATTTTCCATCAAGCATATCCACAGACGAATGACTGAGTATTTGGTAGTGCTAACAAAGCGATCATGATATTGAACTTATGAAGAAGAAAATGCTCTGTACACTTAGGGAGTTGCTCTGATGCTGTCAAAGAAGCACACCGATAGGGAGGCAATTTCATAGACCAAGAAAATAGAAGCATTATTCGAAACAAAGAAGGTGGGTAATACTATGAATCTTATCCTATGTTGTGCACACACCGATGAAAGCAACGACGATAATAAAGATCAGTCCTACATGAGGCTGCGATCGATCATGGCTAAGCGCTCAGGAAATGACCCGATCACGCCGACAAGTGATCTAAACGCGAAAGTCGGAGTGGATAACAACGGATACGAAGATATAGTGAGACGACATGGACATGACGAATGAACACAAATAGTGAGATATTTACACGTACATATGCATTCAACAAATTGGATATAGTGACACAATATTCTCACACTAATGCATACACCAAGTTAAATGTGCCTGAAAGGAAATGAGAAACAGCCACATGACTCGACGATGCTGGCAAGAAAATATACTAAACCAGAGAGACCAGTCAAGGACAAAGTAGGCAAGACTATCATCGAGGTTGAAGAACAGAGAACAAATAAGCAGAACACTTTGAGGAACTCTTGAATAGGGAAGCTTCATTGGACTCACCAGATATCGAATCACCACTCACAGACCTTCCTACAGACGTTACCTCATCAACTATCGCAAAAATCAGGATGGTCATCAGATAACACCAACATCAAATTCAGGATCTTCAATACGAACGTCAAGACAGTTGTGTTCTGCTGAGCTGAGGCATGGAGAACTAAAACATCCATAATCGAAATGGCACAATCATGAGTTATTTAAGATAATTTACCAGTCCTTCTACTAACTGTCTATTGATATGCTGATCAACTTAAAATCATATTTGTTGAAATATTTGTAGAAGATAAATTACTATGTTCACCAAAAGGTTGATACGTTCGATAGACGTTTTCTAATGCGAAAGCATGAATGAACTAGGTCTACAAAATCTCCTAGATTACAGACTGACATTCCAAGTTATTGGTATTCAATCTATCTCCTACATATAATGCATACTATGCGACTTCACAAACGAAGCGCAAACGTCTGAAGCCAACAAGCACCATCCACCTCATGACATTAATATGACATCGGTTCCTCACTGTCAATAGAAATTTAAACTCACTTATGTTTAATAAAATTATTTACATCACTCAGGTGGTCCCATAAAAGTTGGCTGCCAACTGGAGATTGCGCGAAATAGTCAAGCGTAAACCACAAGTTCTCGTTCTCTCTTACCCGCTCTAAGTACCTGATGAAAAGATGGAGGAAATGTTTAGCTAAGTAGGTGTTGTGTATTAATTTATTCATATGAACAGTTACGTCTGTAGAATAAAACGATGAGATTTGTAGCTACGATGACTGGTCTTGGCACATTGATGTCGGTTTTGTTTGTGAGTGAACGCTGTTGTTGAATTGGGAAAAATCTGCTCAGTATTATTCGATGGGTCCTAGTTGACTTTAAACTTCAGTGTTCACTGACACGTTTTGAGTGACATATCTTGATGATAATCATGAGGTAACTGTTGATCCACATGTGAAAGTCTACTGATCTCAGTGTATCCACATGGAGTTAAATTTAAGTCAATTTTGATATGAAGGCGAATTAACTGAAGTCAACAATGTAAACCACTAGGGTTTGAATCAGTTGTTCAAAGTCGTCGTGTTCGCTCGATGATACTTGATAGGCTCCGTCCAAAAATATGAGTGATTTAGTTTTATGTAGTTTCAACCATAAATTAAGAACATGTCCCGTGCCCTATTACATTTGAGGGTGAGTCAGTGTAAGCTCATGTTATAAACTTTCATTAGGCTTGACAGTGTTTGGTTCTTCGATCGTCATTCGTGGAGTGAAAACATATATCTTTCCAATTATTCAGCCATAGTCATTGTCACACATACTTTCCAAAAATATCATGCAAAATTTTGAGAAATCTTTGATCATAACAAACGGATTTAGATTCTGTGACCATATTCATTAGCTGATAGGAAAGAGGATTCCAAACATCTAGTCGGGTTACTGTTTTCATAAACAGATGTGACAGTGAAATATTCAACGTAACAGAATAAGTTACCTTATCATAATTTCTTTATCACGAGAACAGGTTAAAGCCAGCATCTTGTTTTCATTCTCATTCTCATTCACAGTATCATTTAACGTCAGCTGACGTTCTAAAAATTTCCATTCTTCTTGACCACCATGACGAATAGCTGTACAATAAGTAATGAATCTCAAATCAGGTCGTATGCTGTAAAATAAAACAAACGCGAACAAAAACGTTACTTTCGATTTCAGAGTTAATTAACTTTCTTGGTATAAGATCGTCAAATCGATTTCAATCCGTATGATTATTGGGTTGCGTTCATTCATATATTACGCTCCCAGATACATTTATAAGTATAGTAAGGTAGCAATATATGCTTATCAATATAGCTCGGAAATATTGACAACTTAAATCTCCTACCATTTCTGGATGTGAATGTTCTTCCTACAATCAATTTGTATTATTCCGAACGATCAAATTCGCATGTTTTAATTTGTTTCACGGTGTACTGTGAAATGAAAACATGGTTCGAACGTTTCGCACCTTAATATGAATCACAGAACGTGAGCTCAAATATTCTACCTATCATTGCGTACTCTTTGAGCTTTTGTCAACTTAGCTAATGACCAATAATTTGCTCTGAATAATCGATCTCGTTAAGGCCATGAAACATCAAAAGTCATAACTTCCATTCGGTGAAAGATATCAAATTAGAGGTAGACCGGCTACGTTTCTTAACGGTCGATCGTGCACAGACGAAATCGCGATACCATAGGTCAATGCAGAGCAACCAGTTGAAATGAATCCGTCATAAGAAACAGCTTCCTTGATTATTAAAAAGCGTTCGACGTTGAAGATATGGGAAACAATACAAACCCTCTGCGAACTGTACTGTAACTGGAAAGATTTTCAGCATCAAACGGAATCAAGACTACGGATCACAATTCAATTTCACGCATGGCAGACAGCAAATGGATGAATGGCAATTGAAAATCGGTGTCATAAAAGGCTGAGTATCTATTCTCTTGCTCTCTCTCCCGGCAGTCACTTGAAATGTGATAACAGCCACATCTCAGGAGAATTACGGAATACATTGGACAACCTCGATTCACTTGTCTATTTTAGAGTTAGTAGATGACTCATTTTAAAATATCGCACATATGTTGAAGTGCGTTGTTCTGAATGGTGTAAAAAGGTCGAATTATTTAATTTGAAGATTTCCCACAAATAAAATTTTTTATTCATAAAACAGAGTTATTGTCGAGTGATTGACGAATCCAGGTAGCACAAGTCATCCGTCCACTTTACACATCAATTTAACAGCTATCCCGCTACGCTTACTGACTTACAAGTTCTTTACATTCGGGAAACCATAACATTGACAAATTATTTATGCATTCGTGTTTGACCATAGCAAAAAAACTGATCACACAATATAATTCAAGCTGCGTTTTAAGAATTGTTTCAAATAAAATGAAATATAATATAAAAACTTATTATACGGTAGTCTGTTTTATCATATAAAAATCATTAATTGCATGACTAACGGGTTCGTTTCGGGTTTCGACATCCATTGTCTGAAGAGATCCGTAGTTTTGTTCACACAAAGTTGATGTTCAGCTATACAAGCGAGTTTGATCACATTATAGTCAAAACGTCTAAAATCGAGTAAATGGTGGAAGGATAGTTATGTTGTACTTTAGTAAATATATACATACATATACGTTATTTGTTTATAATATTATTAGTGAGTTATTTAAATAGTTGATAGAGATAAAATATCACGGAGATGCCTAAAGATGTTCATTGAGAACAACGGTTTATCCAATGGATTCGAGATTGCTCTGATTTTGTATCTGAAACATAATGTTGTCACGTCAAAAATGTTCCCACATTTTGCATTGTCTCGAAACCTGTCTTGTTATCTCTTTACGAAAAATCGAATGTCATTAAACTCACCAATTGATACAATATCGACGAGCTGGTGATTTCTGTAATACATTTTTCATCTCATTTCAACGGGGAGCTGTTACCGTTTCCATTATAATAAACTTGAAATGAAAAAGTACAACTTTGAATATCCGATTAAAACCGTTCATACTACAACGATTTCAGATAACTATATTACAACAATACACAACTTACAGTTAATTAACGAGTTCACTCAGGCAACAATAGTGTGTCTCTAATAACAGAAGTACACAAATTGAAGTGCACACTAACCAATCACTTAATCTTAAATTCGTTTATTCATTACAGTTCCAGTTCATTAATATGGTTCAGAAGTAACAAAACCCGGTTTGTGAATCTCACTCCTCTCATAAACCATACATTGAATCTGTTTTCGGCTACGTTTTGCTTTAATTAGCATTTCTGATAACAATACTGGCAATTTCATCATATTCTGTTGGGTGTCTTCCATACAGAATGTTTCGTACAAAATGACTTCTGAGACTATATCAGTGATATGACAGAGGGGAAACTTACGAAATGGAAATATTACTACTCACATCTTTGGAAGATCTTGACCTTTGCCAACAAATGACCAATTCGCTGATCGAATACGGTTATCGATAAGAGTTCGCAAGTATGCTTGGAAATCTTCATAATTCTCATTCAGAGCAAGCACGTTATTAATGTAAAGCAGCGCTCGACTAGCTGTTATCCATACAATAAACTCATCTTCGCGGTTTAAATATTTTGTTGCGTCCAAGAAAAGAGTATACGGTACGATATGTTGACTGACAAGGAGGCCAAAGCAAAACAAAATAGATAATTTCGAACTGATTGCAAAGTGAAAAATAAGCTCAAAAAGACTTGTTTGAGTAATTTGTTCACAGCCGAGTCTATAGAAGTTCAATATTTCACACTCGAACTCTGTGTACACAAGAGTCATGCTCAACGCTTTATTCTTTCATGATCTTAGCATCCCTTCGAATTTCGCAATTTGCAAGTGCTTAATAATGTCTTTTTCGTCCCCTCCTGGAATAAGTGGACCGGTATGCCTAACATTTATTTTATGGATCATTAGCTCTCATAAATTCAGAATCCATTACATAAGGTGACAACCTTTTCTATATCACACAAAATCAATTTACTTTCCTCGACTCCCACATGAATAAGTTTGACTATGTTTGACAAATATTTGAAACCCCGCTATTTTGCCGCAGAAAACTACATTTAAAAATTAACTATAAATACGACTGCACAGCCTCCGAAAATGATATCGTCGGAAGGAAAATTACTTTGATGAAACATCTTCATACTTCGCGTATGATAAGTTTGGATATGTGATTGTAGAACGTGTAGAGAATTTTGAGAAGTGTATTCTTCGTTTATATGTCTGTGTAATTACTTCACCCGACATATTATATTTTTAATCATTAATAAATGAGTGACCAATCAACGGTATTGACAGTTTGTTTTCAAAAATATAGCGTATCATGTATGTCAACTCTTTGTGATTATACTAATCTATCGTTATATTATCGTAAGGTTGACATAGATTTCTGGGAAGCTGAATGTATTCAGTATTCAAAACGTCTATGTGTACAGCAAATTCACTCCAACTCATTGCGAACTTTTCTAATCCAGCTTACTATACGTTACTCTAACCGTCTTGCTTCTTTTGCAAACTGTTGTACTAGTTTGCATTTCTGAAAGAATCGGTTTCAGATTATGGGTGGCATTCAATTAGAATATCCAAGTTCTAAAACGTATTTCCTTTACAATCAGATGGTATGAAATGTCGAATACTCAATCTTTTTTAAATATTGACTAACTTCCATCAATTTTCCGTGTTTTCAATCAGTATTTGGAATCAAAGTTATTAACTAGCCTGATATTTTGTAACAGGATAAAAATCATCCAAAAAAGAAATTGGTTTCTTTCCACTCCACACTTACTTTGCAAGACTGAATAAATCATTCAATATTTGTGCGCGTGAGAAGACTGGAATAGCCTAGACACGAAAAAATTAGATAAAAATCGAAATGCCTTATGGAACATCGAACCACAATGTAAAATACAATCTATAAAATGAGTGTGATTTCAGAAAGATCACACCTTAGTTTGCGACACTAAATGACGAGCTGAAATTATGAATTAACAGCTTAAAGCAAAATCCGCTATATTAAGATGTACATATTCATTTCTTTAAAGGTCTTCATTCATAAACACCTTCCATATAGGTCTGACTGTTTACATATTTGTGTATCTAAGTCGACTAAATAATTACTAAATATTTCACACAAGCGTTTTTACACACATCAATCGACTCCTCTACCAAAAACGTGTCGTCCACACATTGCACACGCATGTTGTAATAATCAGTCCATATTCTCACATCATTTGATCTGCTATAAATATTGCATGAATATAATATTCCCTCTCACTTCGTATTTCTACTACTCAACTTCTACACAGTTGGTAATCTCTCGGTTAATGAAACGGGTGACAGTTTGATTAATTCTTTCACGTTCCACACCTAATAAATAGTTATTTGAGTCTCTATATTTCCATGATATATTTCAGCAACTATCTCCAAGTTTTACAACATCTACTCCAAGAGAGTGAACCATTCAAGGAGCATAACTAGAGGATTAAAGAAGCATAAATTCAACGGGTCAGTTGCTCAACCACAAAAATCATCACCACAAGGCATAGAACTCTACCTAGCTTTTGTTACAGCGCTTTCAACAACACTTTAATAAACCAGAAATCGCAAACACTGCAGATAGAAGTGGGACAATCAACTGAATGAAACTCGTCACTATACATTATACATGATAAAAAAGAGGCTGGTTGACATGCCTTCATAATACCACCCGGTTATGGCTATGATAAAACTAAAGCCGAAGGGAAAGTGGGCAACTGTGTAAACAGCATTGAAATATTCAATGCATTATTTCTAGTAGATGCTGACAACCTGAACGAATTAAAAATGGATCTCAGTCATGTTTTCTAATGTTTGAAAATCTACTCAGACACTAGGAAACTATCATAGGGAACAGCTGAAAATGAGGCAGTTACTTTGACACGCCAGGAGTTGCTGGGCCGCGGGATACCTAAAATCGTTGTTTCTCTTCCTTCTAGCAGTCAAATGAAATGTGGAAACAACCACGTCTCGGGAGAAGCACGGGACACATTGGACAGCCTCGATTCACTTGAAGATTATGGACTCAGTAGATGACTCAACTCTTTCATATCATGCTTAGCAACAATCCAGGTGAAGACAGCCAGTGTAGCGGCAGCCTCTACAGCAGTAAACCTCAACACTCGCAAAAGAATAAGCGAAATCCTCAAATGAGTCATGGAGAGTTATTCACATATCTGAGAAGAATCATCAACCAACTAGAAGGATGTGTGGTAGATGCAGAGGCAGGGATTGGCAAGGTAACGGCACTACTCTTACAGTTGAAGATATATGAGTCAAATACAGAATCTTCAATACAAACATCGAGCTGGTTCTAGTGTACTGAGCTGAAAATTTTGGAACTGCCATCAAAATGTATATGTGTTCATGAATAGTTATCTGAACAAGACACTGAATATCAGTCAACCGGATACCATCAAGAGCAACACACTGCAGCAGAAAACAAGCCAACTTCCATCTGAATATGAAAGCACGACGAGATGTTAGAGGTGGGTACGACAAGCATTATGTTAACCATCAGATGGAATCTCGAGACAATCACACCGAATCCAGAAGGCAAGAGGTACAGAGGAAGACCAATGAACATGTTGTGTCGAGAATTCGAGGCATATACCAAAAGAATGAGAAGCAATTGACGACGACTGGAAAGGAGGCTAGGATAGAATAGCTTGGAGAATCCTAGTTGGCAGCCTAGGCTGTTCTGAGCATGTGTGCAATTACATAAGTAAGTAATTATTACTATATTATTATTATGATTTAAACAGTTAAAGCTGAATGAGTGCGTGGAGGTTAAGTGATTATTTTCACCTCATCAATTTAATATTGAAGGGACGATGAACGTTTTCTTCTATGTAAGGTTAGAAAGATGACTCAGTATAAATTAGTGCTACACATGTTGGATACGACAACCATGTTCTCATTGTCGAGGAAGGCCCGTCAAGCCGACTATCCAGCCTCAGAATGTGACGCGAAGTATGTACAGGTATGTGAAGCATAATAATCATTTATACTAATGTAAACGGCAAAATGGCATTTCTTACTGTTCACCATCCACACAATGTCGATATTTGTCCAGTTCACCGTTTGTGCCGACCCATAAGTGATTGGTATTATCCAGAAACGTCTGAAAGGAGCAAAATACATTATAATGAACATCAAAAGCTATCAAACTATAAATATAATAATCAAAAACAGGAAGTTTGATCGAGTACCATAACAAAACACGTGTTGATAATGCTAGTTGATCGATAGAGGTCAGGTTCGATTTCAAATGTAAGTAGATAGGAATATCCGTCAGTTTAATCCACTACCAAGTATCACTTCTACAATGTGTTTCTTATGCAGCTCCAAAATCTTTTCTCTAATTTCCTCTTCATTTGAATGATGGTTTGTAGTCTCCCAATGTAAACTGTTGCTGATTGTATCTGGTCAACGGACAGTGAGTATCCTGTGCAGACGATTGTTTACAAATGCTTGTACATTTTTGATGATGGTTTTAGTAGTTCTCCACGTCTCCGCTCAGTATGACAGAAATATTTCGACGTTTGCATTCAACATTCTGACTATGATGTTTGCCTGCATATAGTTGTTAGGAGTTCCATATGTACTTCAACTATAAGAACGTGGTCATTGCTTTGCCAACCCTCGCATTCAAATCTGCATCGGATCCTCTTTGATCATCGATGACGTTGTACAGGTATATGAAGGTTTCCATTACTTCCAGGGTTGCTGTCTTCATGGGCATCCTCCCGTGTGCATGGGATTTTAGAGCTAGATCATCTTTGAAGTTTAATCCGTCTACTTGCATCGATACTGCTCATCGTATTTCGTGCTTTCTTTCACACGCACAGGTTATCATAATCTAGTCCAGCGTTCTACATAATGATAGAGACATTTCGAGATATTGTGCTCCAAGCCTTAATAATTCAAATGAATATTTTTTCGATTATGTTGATGAATCCCGCTCTAAAACGCTTTTGCTCAGACAATGTGTAACAGATACAATACCTTCGCAATTGACATAAAATATAAATCATAGCTCTGTGTTTGAAATGATGGTGTAATACAGTATCTTGAGGTTTAAAGCAACCTGTTATGATCGGTGTTATGTGCGCACTTGATGAATGGAGATAAGAAAGTATAATTATAGCAGACAAACAGGTTTCGGTGGAAAGTTGTACAGTAAACCGAGTTATTACTGGAACCAAATAGTTACATTGCAAATCTGTAACGTGTAGATTGACCAGGTCCGCAGTTGTTATGTCTGTCACTTTTCTAATATCTCCATCGATATTCGTTATATCCGTGTTAACGAATACTTGAAAAAACGAGAGGCCACGACACGAATTACAAACATTGGGATTGGAGAAATCGATGATCAATCAACTCTAACATACAACAACAAAATACAACAACTATTCGAAAATACATTCATCATATAGTGATCCTACGCCCATTTCTTTTACTGATTGGAATAAAATCACATGTATGAAAAACACAGAGAATTTCAACAAATCACATGATACATTTCATGCTGAGCAGAGGTTATGTTAATTTAATACGAGTATATCGTATCTTGAATGAACACCACGCTGAAATAAATCATTGTTAAGAGGAACAAAATATCACACTGGAAAATTAAAACAATAATGAACCTATTAAGAAACGGAAGATATGTTGGTTGAAAATCACAATGAGTCAAACTTGATTTCACCTCTTTATCTCGTCATATAAGTTGGTAAATGGCAATGATTTAAGATAACCTATTGAAAATGTAATGAGAGCCAAACAGCAAATAATTCACTTGCGAAGTGTCAATCAACCGTCTCAAACTTCATTATTTCTTCATTTTCAAACTAATCTGTTCACCTTATCTTCTCTTCGATCTTGGTAACCTTCCGCTCCCAGGCATTCACTTTCACTTGATGGTACGTCCTAATTATATCTATCGACACCAGTACCACGCAACACGATAACAAATGTTGCATACATCACAAACTCACTTTTCTTCATATACAATCTCTGAATACGGATGTTGTCTAAATTAATACATAGTTCACTTACTCACGATTTGTTTGAGATGACTTGTTACCATAGTGTTGAAAGTAACGTATCTGCTCGAAACAGAACACATTCGACCCATTTCTCTTCACAATCACTAGTGGATAATTCCTTTGTTTAGTCCAAGAATCCATAATAAATCCAATGTCCAAATGATTTCCTTGAGTATTCCATTCCTAATTTGCAATTTAAACGAAATTTTGATCAGGTTATTGGCCTTATACTTTTGATAAATAATTTTACGGTATCGCAAATGTTTTGTGTTTCAATGATCTGAGGCGTGTTTTGAGAATAGTGGTGGATACAACTGAATGAAATACAGTTAAATTCACTCATTGTTTAAGACTATTCACTTTAAGTTCATTGGCGAGATTCTAACTTGAGGACGAGCCATTAGAAGCGTTTGAGCAATTTCAATGTCACGGAGCCAAGTTCAACACGCGATGCTAACATACGATCTGTTCACAGCGGATTTTAGAGAGGAGGTGATTAATGGAAGGTTGCAACAGATGGGACGGCGAGAATCTAATTTAGGCACGAGCCAATGAGAAATGTTTGAGCAATTTCAATTATTAGCCAATCAGAAGACAGTATGAAGTAAAAATATATTACAAGAAAGTAATGGATCACAGTGGATATTCTTCTCTTACATGATTAAAAAACTTGGTAAGTTTGATAAAGGCCCAGACGTTTTGAGTTCATAATGCATACGGTATAGAAACTCGTCCATAGTGTTAGGGTTTAGGGTTAGTGTTAAGGTTAGTGTTAGGTTAGGTTTAAGGTTTAGGGTTAGGGTTAGGGTTTAGGGTTAGGGTTAGGATTAAGGTTAGGGTTAGGTTAGGGTTAGGGTGCTAACATGCGATCGGGTACATCGGATTTTAGAGAGAGGCCACAACCTGAACCTTAACCTCAACCTTAACCCTGACCCTAACCGTAACCCTAACCCTAAACCCTAACCTAAACTATAGGCTACAACCCTAGACCCTAACCTCTAAAATCCGTTGTAAACCGATCGCATGTTAGCACCCGATCCCTAAACTTAACCCTAAACACTAACCCTAAACCCTAACACTATGGACGAGTTTCTATACCATATGCATTATGAATTCAAAACCTCTGAACCTTTATCGAACCTTAAAGTATTTAAATCATGTAAAAGAAGAATATCCACTGTAATTCATTGCTTACTTATAATATATTTTCAATTGATACGGTCTTTTGATTGGCTAAAAATTGTCAAGTTCAGTTTAGATTCGTTCAAAGGTCGTCCCTAAATTAGAGTCTCGCCAGTCCATTTATTCGGAATGTTGTAGGTGGATGAATAATTTAATGCAGCCTGCTCAAGCATGATCACGTACACAAACCGATTATTGAGGTTCGAACACTGTAATTACAATCGGTGGAATGAATCAATAGATGAAACTCCCACTACTACTAACATAGAGTCTGGTGTTTTTTCAGAATAACAACAAAGAATAAGTAGGAACAGTGTGGGTGAACAGATAATACATAGGAATGTGAATCACGAGATTATTCATTAGATGATACCATAAATATTTGATCTCTTTTGAAATATATTTCAAGGCGATATCTCTGTTCAGTAACAACAAAATGCGTGAAGATCAGGAGAAATTATGAAAAGAACTCAACAACAAAATGCATTACACCAAATGTTTTTGTATTAATGTAATAATCACCAAATGCTTACTTCAGATAATGCCTTCCATAAATCCTTTTCATCTGTGTTCTTATATTGGTTTCGAATTAAGTATCTCTTAAACAAACACAGAAAAACGTATTATATAAGGCATTTCCGGATTTCAATTTGCAAGTTATCATGAATTTAATCATAGGATTTAAGCCTAGACAGCAAACATTATAGCTCAGTGTTGTGTTTCTGCATTCTTCCAGAATACCACCCACAATCAAAATAAGATTAATGTTGAAGTGAGGTTGGTGAACGTCATAGGAATAACCGAACTTTACCATATAAAATCCACAAATCAGTTACTAATATCCCTTTCACATGGCTGTTAAACCATTAAAAACGAGAAGTTCAGCCAATGGACACTTTTCAGTAAAATTAAGATCAAGCCATATATATTTATATATATTTATGAATAAAATATCAAGCAGCAATTCAGTGACTATATATGAATAGAGAATAAACACGACGATTTAATGGATGATCGTTCAACATGTGTCCTTCAAAATGTCACATACACTGATTTCTCTTATCATTATGAACACCAAACGTTTGAAATGATCACGATAAAAGTACTCTCAAATAAATTTTGTATTTTCCAAACCGGTTTTACATACAGAGACATTCACTCAACTTAGTGCAACTGATGAGAGATCGTGACAGATATACTGTACATAATTACGTGGGATACAATCTCAACCAACGATCTATCAGATATAAGGGTGAGTGAAGTCTGTTTAGCATAATTTATTTGTAACGACATTTACACCGACTTGATATAAAATATTTCACTGATTTAGCTATAACAAATATGGTTTATGGGTTGGTCAGACAACATTTAATTTTAAAAACATTTTCCATTTGTTCATGACGGCATACGAGTTCAAGTTGTTTGTTAAGTACACTGCCTGTTGATAAAAACGTGTTATAGCGTTCCAAGGAGTACGTGTGTTGATGACTGTGGTGATCAATCATTACTGCGTTCTGTTAAATTACGTCATACTGAGTTATAGCTAAGCAAATGATATGAGGACTCTGCGTATTGGAAAGTCTCGAAGAGAACTTTGAAAATACTTAGTCAACGAAAAGAAATCAGTTCACCATTGAATGTGACCGTTGAGACTAGATTATATAACACTCAATTACAACAAAATAACCGCTGTCAACGTACTTTCAAACCGTTTTGAAAAGCGCTACGGCCCATGAATTTCTCCATCATCCAAACCAAAGAGGCGCCCTGTGAATTATCGAATGCAATGTAGAATATTAACATATATATGAAACACGGAATGAATGTGTAGGTAATTTAGATTGATCAGTCAATTAACTTGCGTCCAGTCGAAGATAGGATGCAACAAAGTCAAGATACACTTAGGAATATTATTGTTTTTGAATAGAATATGTCACATGGTTAAACACTGAATACGTTCGCGTTATGATGGATTCACAAAAAGTGGAAGATTACCGTGTACTATGGTTTGGTTGATTCACGTAAGAACTCTGGAGAATTATAATCACGTGTAGATTGTTTCATAATGCTGAATTAGAAGTCGTTTCATCTACTTGGCCTAACAAATGTTATGCAATCATTCAGGTGGTGACTGTTTTCTATCGTGTAAATAAAATACTGGTTTTCGTAGTCTTAACCTAGATATAATGTTCAAGTTTAAACATCACTGAAATTTTGTTGTGTAGCCTTCTTAAAACATACACAATTCTGTTAATTATAAATATGAGAGAATAATGAACTTCATGATTTTGAATGTCAGGAGTGTACTCAAATATTCGGATACATCAATCACTCCCACAGCATTACTTATGACTTACTTACTTACTTACTTACTTACTTACTTACTTACTTACTTACTTACTTACTTACTTACTTACGCCTGTTACTCCTCGTGAAGGAACATAGGCCGCTCACCAGCATTCTCCATCCAACCCTGTCCTGGGCAATCCTTTCCAGCTCCTTCCAGTCATTATTCATACTTTTCATATCTGCTTCGATTTCCCGACGTAATGTGTTCTTTGGCCTTCCTCTTTTATGCTTCTCTTCAGGATTCCAAGTTAGGGTTTGCCTCGTGATGCAGTTTGATGATTTGCGTAATGTATGTCCTATCCATTTCCATCGTCTTTTCCTAATTTCCTCTTTAGATGGAAGTTGGCTTGTTCTCTCCTACAGAAGGCTATTGCTGATGGTATCCGGCCAATGGATGTTGAGTATCTTGCGAAGACAGCTATTTATAAATACTTGTACTTTCTTGATTGTGGTTGTTGCAGTTCTCCAAGTTTCAGCTCCATACAGTAGAACTGCCTTGACGTTGGTATTGAAGATTCTCACTTTGATATTGGTTAAAAGTTGTCTTGAGTTCCATATGTTCTACATCTATATATTCTACATCTTCCAGAGTTTCGCCATCAAGAGTGATTGGATCGCTGTTCTCCGCTTTGAATTTGAGGACCTTGGTTTTCCCCTTGTGTATGCTGAGGCCTACTGATGCAGAGACTGCTGCTACACTGGCTGTCTTTATCTCCATTTGTTCATGTGTATGCGATAGGAGGCTCGGGTCATCTGCGAAGTCCAAATCGTCTAATTGATTCTGAGCTGTCCATTGTATTCCGTGTTTTCCCTCAGATGTCGAGGTCTTCATAATCAAATCCGGTGTCCATCTTGTTGTGTTAATGAGGTATGGAAACTTGGACCGATGCATAAATGTGCCTGGTCCTACTTTGTAGCTGACTGACTGACTCTTCATAATCCAATCGGCCACCAGAAGAAAGAGGAAGGGAGAGAGTAGACAGCCTTGTCTGACTCCGGTCCTTACTTGGAATGCATCTGTCAGCTGTCCTCCATTCACGACCTTGCACTGTAGTCCGTCATATGAGTTCCGGATAATATTGACAATGTTCTCAGGAACTCCGTAGTGTCGAAGAAGTTTCCATAACGTCCTCCTATCCACACTGTCAAATGCTTTTTCATAATCAATGAAGTTGATGTGACGAGTTCCACTCAACTGATTGCTCGACGACGATCCGTAGTGTTGCAATTTGGTCTGTGCACTACCGATCCTTACGGAATCCAGCTTGTTTATCTCGAAGTTGGGCGTCTACTGCATCTTTCATCCGGTTCAGCAACACTCTGTTGAAGACCTTCCCTGGTATTGACAGTAGTGTAATGCCTCTGTAGTTTTCACATTTGCTCAGATCTCCTTTCTTTGGAATCCTGACGAGGTGTCCGTCTTTCCAGTCCATCGGCAACTGTTCCTGCCCCAAATCCTTTTGAATAGAAGGCAAAGCATGTTTGTAGTTACTTCGATGTCTGACTTCAGTGCTTCAGCTGGTATGTTGTCCGGTCCCGCTGCTTTCCCGTTCTTGATTTGTCTGATGGCCATTTTGATTTCTTCCTTCGCTGGTGGGTTGACGTCTATCGGAAGATCTGTGTGCGCTGCTTCGATGTCCGGTGGATTCATTGGAGCCGGCCTATTCAGGAGTTCCTCGAAGTATTCATATTTCCTCCTCTAGCACCTTTTCCTGCCGTCTTTGCTAGTTCTTCCACGCATTTCTTCTTGTCGATTCTAATGCTCCTCTTCACTTGCTTGTTTGCTCCTGTGTATTCAGCTTGTGCTTGAACTTTCTCTGCTCGTGTTCGGCTGTTGTTAATTGCTACCTTCTTGTTCTTCCTTTCTTTGATCTTGTCCAGAGTTTCTATAGAGATCCACTCCTTATGATGGTGTTTCTTTAGACCCAGAACCTCTTGACACGTTCAACCTAATGCTTCTCCTCCCAAATCTTTTTGAATAGAAGGTGAAGCATGTTTGTAGTTACTTCGATGCCTGACTTCAGTGCTTCAGCTGGTTTGTTGTCCGGTCCCGCTGCTTTCCAGAACCTCTTGACACGTTGAAGTTAATGCTTCTTTGATGCCTTTCCAGTTTTCCTCAATAGTAGTTTCTTCTTCCTACAGTAGATCTTGTAAGGCTTGGAACCTGTTGTTGAGAGCTATCTTGAATTCATTGAGTTTGTCAGTATCTCGAAGGAAGGCTGTATTGAACCTTTGTAGTGCTGTTTGTCCACTTGTCCAGTTCTTTTTTAGCTTCAGTTTTAAATTGGCTACAACTAGGTGGTGATCTGAAGCTACGTCAGCACCTCTCCTGGTTCTCACATCTTCCATTGTCCTTCGGAATGTTTTGTTGATGCAAATATGATCTATCTGGTTCTCTGTAGTGTGGTCCGGTGAGATCCATGTAGCCTTGTGTATACGCTTGTGTGGAAATATTGTGCCTCCTATGACCAATTTGTTGAATGCACACAGATTTGCAAATCTTTTTCCATTTTCGTTTCTCTGTCCCAGTCCATGTCGTCCCATAATATCTTCATATCCGGTGTTGTCTATTCCGACTTTGGCATTTAGATCTCCCATCAGAATGGTGAGGTCCTTTCTTGGGCACTTTGCTATGATTGACTGCAGCCGCTCGTAGAACTGATCTTTAATGTCGTCGTTGCTATCATTGGTGGGTGCATAACATTGGATAATATTCATCGTGATCCCCTCCTTCTTTGTTTTGAATGATGCTTTGATGATTCTGGATCCGTGAGATTCCCATCCTACAAGTGCATTTCGTGCTACTTTGGACAGCATTAGAGCGACTCCCTGAGTGTGTGGAGCATTTTCTTCTTCGTGACCGGAGTATAGCAGCATCTCTCGTATTTAGCCTTTTTTGTCCAGCTTGGGTCCAGTGGGTTTCGCTGATTCCCAGTACTGCCAAGTTGTATCTCCTCATTTCCGTCGCTATTTGACTGGTCTTCCCGGTCTCCCACATTGTTCGGACGTTCCATGTACCTATAAAGATTTTTGCTCTGGTTGTTAGAAGGGGCATCGGCCTCGTGGCTTTCGAAGGAACTCGGCATTCACCATGAAGCGTCATAATTCTTCTAAATGAAGACCTTCTAACTCCCAGTGCACAGTTGAAATGGTTTGAATTATTTTTTATGGTAAGCGTTTCTTTAGCGAGTTAGTTTTCTACGGGATGGGGACGTTAACCCTATGCCCAACCCTCCTCCTTTACCCGGGCTTGCGAACGGCAGTAACTCTAGAAGAGCTACAGGCGGAATAGCTGATGATATTTTCCCCAGTTAAGATATCACTATATGTCTGAGTTCGTTTATTGTTTCACTTGTTCACAGAATTCAGTTCAGTTTATTCAAACACGTTATTGGCATAAATATACATTGGAATGCTATACGGATTTATAGTAAGAAATTCGAAGGTTATGTTTATCTTGAAATGAACAATTGTAGTAGTAGTAGTCATGATAATCGTGTTTAGATTGATATCTGAATTCAGCAGTGTGAGGATTTGTGAAGATTGTAGTATTTTTACAGTTGAACTCATGAGTCGACTCAAGTTAAATCATTACTGAATACCTGTGAGCACTGGATGGTCGGTTGATCCTAGTATAGAAATCCTCAGTAAGTCTTTCAGGTTTTCAATGGTGGTCGAGCTCAGATCGACCCTTGAATTAATCTATGAAAATCCGATCTTTTGCCTCAGTCTACTAATAGTGCTTTTATTAAGGTTGACATGACGAAAAACATATCATTATTCAAATGCCATTGTATTAGAACATTGGAACACATTTAACACTTAAAGTTACTCGTTGAGAGAAATATCATTCTTCTGCATGATATCATGATTTCTTTGACGATCATTAAAATAGAATGAAAAGTTAAAATACAAAATTTGAAGCAAATCAACAGCCAATACAGAACTGACCTTGTCGTAGGTGATTAAATCAAACATGGTTATAATTCGTATTGCAGTATTAGCTGGATAAATGACTGGTCTTGATAACATCAAAGTATCAATATCAAGTGCAAGCATCAATTCATCCAGTATGAATAGTTCATCCTATTCATCGAAGAAAAAAATCATCTTTATTGATAAGAATATTATCCAGAATATAATCATAATGTGTACTAAATTTGTTCAAACATTCGCTATTATTTAGTGAAGGGTCACTAATCATCTCAGTATTTGTGAATTTTTCCGGCTCCATCTGAAGACTGATTAAATTCTTCCTTCTTATTACAGAGTGAATTCAAAAATTCCCACTAATTGAATTAAAGTCAAATTACCATTTTGGATGAATGAAATAGAGTTCTAAGAAATCTTAAATTTTAGGAATTTATGTAATTTGCTAAACATTCTGTGTGTGTGGTGTTGTGCAATACAAAACTTCGTCTATAAATACCCGCTTTTATGCAGCATGTACAGGTTATATAAAAACAATTTCTGAAATGACAAGTGACATGTACAAAATGAAACAATGAACTGATAATATCCTCAAAGAAAACACTCAACTTACTACTTTCCACTCAGGATGTAGTAACTGTACACCAATGTATTCGAAAAATGTTGCGAAGCCTTCGTTCAGCCACAAGTTATCCCACCATTTCATTGTCACTAAGTTTCCTAACCACTGAAAGAAAATTGTTTAAATTGAAAGCTGATAAACGTAACATATTCGGATTGCTCAATCGATTTCGATATTTACCGAAGTTCATATACTTATATTGTTAAAAATGATGCTTGTACATCGCAATGAAATCTTAAATTCGGTTCCTGCATCTTAGTTGTAAAGAAATTCTGAATGGTGTAGTGCAAATGAGTATCTGATGAAATTCAACTACAACCAGTGAGAATTGAATACATGAGAGCAGTTATTGTGCTATATTTTTAATATAACCACATGTAAAATAGCTAAAGTAGTGACTCAGCTTGTCAGTAAACCGAATTCTCATAATAATGGCATATGAGGTGATGAATGAGCAACAGAAATTTAAGAAATCTCTTGGATCATTTGAATAATTATTTTACTCAACACGTTTATCAACAATGAACAGGGACTGAATAAATTTAGAAACCTGTATTGTTAGAGTCCAACTTAATGAAGTAAACGAAACTAGCTAGCCGGAAATCTCAGGTATTCTGTGTTTTAATTGCTGCAGTCGAAAACCACAATGTATTAGTTTTCGATCGTTTTCCAAGTACTGTAAATTTATTATCCGAACGATCTTTAAATTAAGGAGATATAAAGTGAATTGAACATTTAGTTTTTCGTTTAAAAGCATACCTGATGAGCAAGTTTATGTGAGACAGAAAACGTCACATCAAATAGGGTATCTGTTGAATCGTTTTCTGCGTCCCATAACATCTTATTTTCATCATAAGTTATCAAACCCCAGTTTTCCATTGCCGTTATTGAAGAGTTAGGAATCGCAATCATATCTGAAAACATCATGGAAGATATATTTCAAATGTAAACGGTTCTAATGACATAGATACGTACCTACATATATACCTATTTAAATACATATATACGTACATACACTGTTGTGCATACTTAATAAAAAGGAATACTTATGCACATCAATATGTATGCAAATATTCACCGCAGTTAAATAGCTGAATACTTGTTTTGGATGTGATTATTTATTCTCTGAAGAAGTGACTTACATTGAGTCACGATATATCAGAAAATTTTATTTTTCTACTCATTGGGATATTACAAATGTATTATTTATTTATTGAATATATTTGTTATGATTCAATCCACTCCAGTTCAAAATATAATTAGCCTAAATAAAATAACATCGGATTTGGTTGATCATGCATCTCTTTCAGTTATTTAGATCTTATTGTTTGGTTGCATAGTTTACATTGTACAGTATTTAATTACACATATATTAAACGTAAACACATTTGTGTGAAATACCTACCCATTTTAGGAAGTGAATAGGGAATGCCAAAATAGTCTTCAAAGTAACCCAATAATTTTATGCCAATATCAAGTGCATATTCGGCTGAACGAATTTTATCCGGTCTTGCCCAAACAGTGAACTAAATGAAAGAATTATTTTATCCAGAAATGGATCAGTCTTATGAAAAAATTAAATGAACTTCAAGTCATTATTGCTACAACTTGATAGAAAAGACTGTTTTCAATGTCACGAGTGATTGAACCACTTTGATTTGATTGAAACACACAGAGAACTCAGCATTGTTAAAACAATGACTTGTACCGTCAAACAATGCTTGTGCTTTTGAATACGTGTATGGAACATCCTCTATTCACGTGTTCTGTTTTAGTTTCTACCATCACTGCGGCGTTTTAAGTGTGTTCACATAACTTCGAAACATCCAGGAACTGCCACTACTTCACAGTGAATGCTAGTATGTATGTAACGTGGAGCTACGTATATCCCGAACCGTCTCGGATGATCGGTTGCATGCAATCTCATGGTGGTTATTCCTGGATATACATGATTTCGATACACTACGAAAGTATTGCATGGAGAGTTACAAAAACTTTTGTGTAATTGATAACACTCACGTTTCGTCCTCTATTGTCTGTCCTCTGAATATTCGAAAACTGCGAAACTACAAATGCCAACAGATATGTGGACATTTTCACACTGGTGTTATATCTGTCGACACGCCAATTATCGTACAACACCTCCGTACTTTCCAAATTCATGTTTGAAAGCGAATGGAAATTTTCATCGCGTACAATATTGACCTGAAAGATACAAACGTGAGAAATTTGTTATCGAATAATAAGTGGTATGTTTACCCAATTAAAACAATTCAAGATTCTTATCGTGCTTATTTAGCAATATATCACATAACCACCTGGAAATCCTTAACTCATGTGGAAACTAATTTTCTAACTGAGTTGATGGATTACTCATTGGGCAGTCGTGGAATTGTTGTCTGAATGAAACATGTTGCATACTGAATAGGCTATATGTTCATATGATCTTGAGTGCCATCTGCGAATGCTTGATATTCACCTGCAGTTTTCGTCGCACATAAGTATGAAACAAATAGAAATATGCTCCCATTTAAGACTTATCATCACTGGTTACCTACCCATGGTTTATGGAGAGCTTTGTGGTAACATGTAGATGATAGGGAGTGTTGTAACTCAATTCTGTACATTGATTTAGTGCAAGAAATGTATTGCTGTCATTATATACGATAACGTTTCAGAAGAGAATACGTTATTTTGGATTGTCGCTGCTTGTATTCGACTAGATTATTTTCAGTAAATTCTCATAAGAACATTGTACATCGGTTTTAGTATATGTGCCTTTTAACAGATAACCAGTTGCCTTCAAACAACATGATACACATCAATAAATTTTGAAGTGTGTTGGTAAAACGAGGTCATGAACCGATTTAATCAATTTAGCTAATAATGTATTTCATAAGATGACTGAAGTAAGCTAAGCTCATCACTATCATCAATCAGGTGTTCGCATATCACACACACAGCATTTAAATTACAAAGCATCACTTGGTTTAATAATTTTGCATTCTAATAAAAACTGACTCGGATTCACAAAAGATCACAAATCATACGTAAAAATATGAAAATGAAATAAAGGTCAAATATACCATACCTTGAAATTTGCTTTAAATTCCGGCTCATCCCAACATGGAAATACATTCCTTGCATAAACTGACTCCATGTAAGTACTTGCCAAATATCTGAAATATATGTATAACGGTGAACATTTGTTTACAAGTACATATCTCATATCCTATAGTTGTTGCTTAAAAATGTGCTTTCAAACATAGAGAAATGTCTGGAAAGAGATATCATGCCCAGCATGTCACCTGTGATTTCTGACGAGTTGCCGTTCATATAGTCCACTTATTTCGGAAAGTCATTGTGTCATCCACTGTGTTGCTCAGTACATCTACACAATCATATTTTCGCTGACGTGAAAAGTTCTGACTCATCTTTGATGACTTATGAATTTGTTATCATCACGTTTATACTGTTTCACAATTCTAGACACCATTTGGAATAATCCACATTTATTATTTTATATTGATAAGGCAGAAAGAATTCACCAGTCTTTCTAAACCTTCCAAAGATTATTAGTAATCTGTACCTATGTCTCTATGGAAAACCAAATGGAATTGTAAACCATGTAATAATACTGATCATAGTTACCATATGATGACTACAGGATATGTCACACATCAGTAGACACACATTGTGTTCCTAGAGAAGAATTTTCATTGTCGAGTTAGCACTGAATAAATGCATTTCTTAACCAAAACACAGTGAGCAAATGGACGTGTATTCGGAAGTGATTGTTAAGCGTTTATCATCACTGTTCAAGCATGTATGCAAATGATTGTGTTATTTGCGGTCACCATTGAGTTGGTACTCGATACCAAATAAACCTGCACATATATGTCTTAAATCGAGACTCACTTGTAAATCCCATTCTCCAAATATCTGCTAATATACAGTCCATCAGAATCATAGTCCATATCAGAACGAAACTGTCCAAATGTCAGGTTGTAATAAGTATATGGTTGCAAAGGCGTTTTGAGTTTAATTCGATAACACTCAGCATCTTCAATATAATGAACTTCGTCTATTTGAATGTAAGAACTTGTTTGATTTTTTTCATCAAGAAGCGACATCTGTTTTCAAAAAGCACAGACGGGAATTATTGTAAAGTGACAATATCTATATTTGATCACAAAGAAAATTCACATTTTGAATAGATGGTATTTTATTTCCGTTTATGTAGAGAGTGGGATTCACTACAGTGAAAGAAGAATAATGCGAACAAAAATCTTTTATTTTCGGCAATAAATATCTCTGTCTGTAGCTCTTCTAGGGTTACTCGTAGTTGCGAACCCGGATAAATGAGGAGTGTGAGTTATAACGTTAGCCACCACGTGCCACAGAAAACAACCTTGGTAAAACATGACTAACCAGAAAAATCATTTGAACCATTTAAACTCTGGTCTCCCAGTTTAGGGATGTTTAACTAGAAGAGTTAGGATGCCGCATGGTGAAGACCGGGATTCTTCCGAAGGCACAACAACCAGAGCAACTATTAGTATAGTTACATGGAATGTATGGACAATAGGGGAGACCGGGAGAACTGACTAAGTAGCTACGGAAATGAGGAGTGATATTCAGATTCAGTGAATCACATTGAACTCAACCTGGACAGAACATCAAAACAGTCCTATTGCACTGAACTGAAAATTGGATAACTATCACAACCATCATCAAAAGAGCACAAACATTTATGAACAATTATCTTCAAGAGGTACTTAATATTGTTTGTCCAGATAAAATGAATAACAAACTAGTTTCCAAGTGGACAGGACGTTAGGAAAAGACGTTGCAATTTGATAGGTCATATACTGTGGAAATTATCAAACTACATCACGAGGCAAGTACTAATCTTCAGTTATCATCTTACGTTTAAGTAGTTGTCACTCTTGTTTCCTTTCGTACAACTCTACTTCCAAGTTGTATCAGACAATTTTTTTTTCAAATAATTTGAGGAATACAATGATGTAATTGTGTTCTGACTCGGATCATATTGTGGCGTGTCCTACTTATATTGACATAAGCAGTATATGACGATAATCAGGAACAGAATGTCTGGCAGCAGAGAGACAAGAGGATCGAGCAGTAAATAATGGAAACAGAATGCAATTTCTATGAAAATGCAAGAACAATGAGGTCTGAGTCATTTTGGGACAATTGATGGTCATTTTGCGAATTGAGCATTTACTATATTGTTGTTAGATTTTAATAACAAGTTCTGTAATTTCCTAACTAATACATTCGATTGTCCCCACTGGTGTTTTTGTTCACCACAACATAATTGAAAATTAATTAAGAGTACGTTTTTATTGGATACTCTTGCATTATATGAGTTCGTCAGTTTATTTTATCCTCATTTCAAAGAACGGATTATTTTCCAATAAAAGTAAGGTTGGAAACTATAGCTTACATGGATTTGATCCAAGCTCACATTCAGATTATCGGATGCATGTACGAAGAACTCGGTTGTCGACACATTACAGAAAACTTTTATTGTCACAGATCCATTGAAGAAAAATGCTTGTGACTTGTTATCATGCAAATGGACTTGAATTGACAAATCGTAGAAATGTGGAAACAATGTGCGTGGTAATCTAAAATCCTCTGATGGATGAATCGACACATTATTGTCATCGCCGATATTTTCAGTTACACTAGTAGTTACCATATCTAAAACAAACGTTTGAAGGAGAATGAGTATTGTTGATGAATGGTAATAATCAATGAGTGAACACTGTTCACACAACATTGTTCATTACACCAAGGAGCTAGTCAACTCAGCTCACGGTTAGATCGTACTATAATTCAGATGAAAATGAAGCATTTTCCTCTACCTAGTTCATTTATATTATACACCCTCAATAAAACCAGTCATTAGAGCATATTCAAATTGATTTTGGTGTATCTTGAGCCGAAGACAACTGAAACTAAAATGTCAATAATGTATTTGTAATTTATGTTGTTGTTAATCGCTCACGAACTATGTTGCATTATACAAAATAGGGTACATGAAAAAGTTATCATTTCGTGTGTTTCAAGTATTTTCATAATGATAAACATTGCATCAATATGGTGCATTTCGTATGGTAATAAAAGCATCACAATCGCTTAGATCATAATTCAAAAATTTCATTTGACACCACAACGTTGAGGGTGGTAAAAATTGTTGAATTTCACTGAAGTAATTAACTGATCAATGTCAGACCACAATTGAAAACATAAGATCGGTGAACCGTCGTTTCCCCTTAGAATGCGTATTTCAGGATTTTACATCCACAACCATATCCGCGTGAATCGAACCGAGGAAATCCAGTCATGCGCTCGAACGAATGATCTCTAAACCACTGTACCGGAATCGAACGGTGCTTTAGACCCACCTCATCCCATCCACGATATTGGGCGACGATCTTTCGTTGTTTACAGTGAGTACGTGACATAGCATAAGAATTTTTAATTTGTGAACCATATGGATAAAAGATTAGATCGCAGATCTCCATTCAACGAGACTGCGAATGATTAAAGAGCACTCTATTTATAATACTGCTAGTCACGCGATAAAATATTTACGTAGTTTCAATGCTCAAGCTACTGCATCGTAATAATAATGACATTGGTAATAAATATTCAGTCAATAGGTCAAAAACACAATAAAAATTAATTGAAATATACATACTTGTATGCTGCGAATCAAGTTCAAAAAAATTAGACCTGCTCAATGCCGAAGCATCATCGACTAACATAAACGAAAGAATCAACACTATCAACATGATGAATGATTTCTTTGACCGCATTAAAGTTGGGATTGCCAAAGTTTCTGCATGTATTGGCTTGAGAGATAAACAGTGATGTGTGGAATCAAAACGTCTCCCATCAGCACTTTCTACAACCAACGGCTTCATAGGGTTCTTGAGTTTGTATAACTGTAAATCGACGACAATATTATCTACAAGTATCGGACAGTGGATGGCATACTTCAGTTTTATAGATAATTGCTAACGAATAACAAATGAGATCAGAGAAGAAACGTGATTTCTTTAAAAGCGTTTGACAATTCGGAACAATTTCACGCTTACAGACCGTGATCTAAACTTATAAGAATAAGTTCAACGAAATGAATCTTGTCTAGTGAACTGTTGACCTTTAAACAGTGTTAAGTTACATGACAGTGGTCATATGCAATGTTTGACATGATTGCTTGACTTTTATTGTTTCTTTTCAAAGCATTTGTGAATGCTGGTCATTGTTCTCCTAAACACTCTACATTTCTTTATTCGGTTTACGACCGTTTTACAGCACGAGGACTATTAAGCCGATTTTGTGATTATTCGTCTATTTTCTTTGATTTTTCATCAAGTTTTGTTACTGTGAAAATATCAATATCAACACATATTGAAAATATTTCCGTGTGTCCAAACTGAATAAATGTGAATGTTCTATTTGACAAATAAGTTGCATCGAACTTCGTTACCACTTTGACAAGAAACACTTGTTCTGTGGTTACACTGATATAAATTTCTGATGATTAGTGTTTGGTGTTTTCATTTGCTCCATAGAGTTGTTCAGAGTAATATTATGAGAATGTAAATGTACAAATCGTTGATTACGTTTGACATAATCAGTGAGTTTATCATGCTTATTCTTCTGAATGATGCGGGTTTAATATGTGACCAGGGCTTTTGTGAACAACATTTTGAGTAACATTTTCACTAGTGTTCAAGATTTGACTACGTCCAAAAACCAGCTTATACATCTCTTGAGGCATTTCGGTACTCTTATTACAAATCGGATGACTTAGTATGAAGTCAGATTCAATGCTGAATTGATGGTGTGACGGAAAATGGAGTAGACTGTTGTTTGACTAAGTGGAAACTGTAAAACTGAATTCATGGTCATTCCGACAATTTTACTATCGCTATTCGAAACACTTTCCAACAGATCCGACTTCAAATAGACGGACGGTAGCCGGTTGAGCATATGTAGGATTCTTAATTTTTCAGTTTTTATTTGTTGGTTGACTGCTGTCACCTTTCACAGTTGAAATCTGAAGCTCTCATGAATGTCGTACGGTGTTGTATATCTTATGTGCTTGAACTGGCCATGTCTGGAGATCATATACATGGAAACAACCAAACTATGTGGATTCCTATAAACCTCTGGATGGGTTGGCATTGGCGAAGTTCAAACAATTCGAAACAGTCTGTTCTGATTGACGTACTTCTATTGTCTCTCTTCTCGACCTGAATCTTGTGATGATGACTCTCCAGAAATTTTCGAAAATGTAGACCGTTTGGTTGAGAGGAGTCAAATAATGTAATGCAATTTTCGTAAAATATTTGTAACGTAGTAATCAGTCAACACAACAATATCTAGTCAATATATCAACTGATTGGAAAATTGTTTAAGGAAGATTGTATTCTGAGCAAAGGTGATCCTTAAAGTAAAACCTCTATCCTAGCTTTATGTTTTCTCTGATGCTCTTATTCAAAACTCAGATACGTCCAGACATATGAAAAAGCGGCTAGGAATTAGGTATTAATCGTTCGTTTGGCGGGATTAACATAGCATTAATAATAACTGTACAGGAGAATAATGCACTAACCTTAGTTTTTCTCGTGCAAGGAAATAAATCCATTGATGTTGCGTTAAGTCAGCTAACGGATAGATGAATTCTGGACAACATCAGGATATGAGAAAATATTGTTTGTTCTGACCTAACTATGAATTTGTATACAAACGCAAAATAATTATCAATCATCATAAAATGTTCATCCTATTGAAATCATGAACCGATCAGTGTTAGACCACTATTGAAAACATAAAATCAGTGGACTGTCGTTTTCTCGTAGAATGAGCATTTCAGGATTTTACATCCACAACCCTGTCCACGAGAATCGAGCTGAGAAAATTCAGTCATGCGCACGCGCGCCCAACATCTAAACCATTGGACGGAATCTAACGGTGTTTTAGAACAACCTCAACCCGTCCACGATATTGGGCGACCATCTCCATTGACTTCAATAGGTAACCACATCAGTCTCTAAAAAAATCCGCTCGTTTGCTCACAGACTAACAGTGGAAATCTAATACATTAGTTCATGCACGAGACCAAGGGCTCCGAGTCCGATCCTCATGGAGATGTTTGAAGAAGTGTTCTTCAGAAATGTCGCATGTTAGGACGAAACGAGCGTACAGTGATTTAAATTGTTCATTGGTATTCCAACACTGAACAGTTTATGGTTTGATTGAAATTCCACATTCTCATTAACTTGTTTCTGATAGAATATGTGTCTTTTTATCACTGTTTGACAAACTACCAGAAACACTAGAACAACTCAGATGCGGTAAGCAAAGTAAGGAAACGGTTTAGCACCTCTGAATATTTATTCACAGATATAGATGTTTAAATAATGAGTGGTCCCATAATAAATAAACAATTTGCTTGGATTGCGAAACTCACGTTTAGAGTGATAGCCTCACTAAAATCGCCCTATTCTCAACAAAGACACGCGCAACATGGTCAATTCAATACCGTAATGACAATAGATGTATCAGTAAATAAGAGAACTAAAAATAACGGCGTAAAACTAGAACGAATGAAAAATAGACTTATATCTTTGAATACTAATGAGTATTTATCCATTTATTTATTTGAACACATAAATATTGGTACAAGAGGCACAAGATACATATGCACCACACAGTATCAATGAGAATGGGAAGAGATAAAGAATGTAGTGTGTGTATAAAAAGAATAAAAGCAATAAAGACTATAAATTAGTTTATGGTAGTGAAAGAATTCTTTCAGATAAAGGAGTTACGGCCACTTTTTATGAAGAAAGTAAACGAAGGTTACAGCAGAATCGCCACTGACTTCTAATTTGAGCCATATCTGATAACGTGTCTAGCCACTGTGTTGCGCCATCTCTAGCACCCCAACCAAGGAGTCGTAAAGGACCAAAAAAGCCAACCCTTTGCAGCTTTCTTTGATACCACGACACCATGTTATACACTGATCACCGCTTCCTTTTTCCAACCAGTCCCAACGTCGGCGAATAATGCACAACGAGGAATTCTCTGGGACGACATTTGCAGAACATGTTCAAGCCCCCGAAGTCGATGTTTCAAGATAGTGACACTAATTGAATTATCGTTGCTGTGCACGAACACATGATGCCGAACCTCTGCATTACTAACATGGTGTTGCCATTGGATGTCAACAATCGTTCGGAGACAACAATGATCAGAGATACTGACCTCGGAGAGGTCAGGTTTCACAAGCATAGAGCAAGACTGATCTCATCGACGCGTTGTAAATCCAAACTTTTACAGTCAGACTAACATCATGAAGGCGTCACAGATGGCCCAGATCGGCGAAAGTCGCTCTGGCCCTCACTTAACGTGAATTGACCTGATCAATACATCCTAGACCAGAACGAAAACCACCCTGCTCCTCGCGAGTCAATCGTTGTCGGGTTTTGAACAACCTATGAAGTATTACGAAGTTAATCGTTTAGACGCAATTGGGAGTAGACTTATCCTCCGATAGTTGTTACAGAAATGACGTGAACCCTATTTAAATATAGGCACAACTGTCGACTGATTCCGTGATGTCGGAACACTCACTGGTTCCAAGTCTTTGTAAACAACGATGTCACTTCCTCAATCAATAAATCATCATCATCTTCAAAATAAGCCGGAGGTGGATCATCTGGGCCCGGTGATTTTTAGCTTTTCAAGGGTTGTAGTTTCTTGCTAACGTTCGCCTCATTTGATGGACCAGTCGACACCGACCTTGGAGCGCAGGACAGTCTGATCTATGTTGCCAGAGCAGCGGGCCAGTTGAACTGCCCTTCAAAGAACTCTTCCCATCGTGAAATGTCTGAGTTATAATTGAAGCGAGCATAATATGTCGTCAAGTAATTGTTATCTCATTAGATTTGTGTGAGGGCTGTGATACTGTCAGGGTGCCCAAACCGAAGCAGGTGGTTTTCTTAGAGGACCTCACCCGGAGCATTTGACCTAAAGGTCCAATCCACAATCCAGTGGAGATGGTAGCCAGTGACCAACGATTGGTTTGTACACTATTTGTCACCTCAGGATACTGGTGCCCTTGTGCACCGTTGATTTGGAATCAGGGTTTTCAACTGCCCTAGGTGGGTCCTCCATATCCACCAACCCAGCTAAAGCACAGAGTTTTGCTTTGCGTTCTCTTAATTTCCTAAACAACATCCTCGCTACGAGAAGGTAGTGAGTAGGACTTCCCTATCAGAGGCTATATACGTGTGGCCATGTGAGAGTATTTCGAGAGGGAGAACGGACTCTCTCCACTCTCGGACGTACCGGGGCACAAACACCACATCAACGGTGACTCACTGAATACCAATAAAAGTTATAAATAATGCATATGATAATAGAATCGTTTAATATTTATGTGATTGAGGACTTTCATCACTGGCAGGAATGACTTGAAGTACAATTCAACACCATAAAATACTGAAAACAGATGCCGATAATCGGTTATAAATGTTTTCGATGTTCATTGCATATCGTTTAATGTCGGGCAGATTATGTATTGATCAATAACTTTGAATTGTAGATAGAACTGAAATTCACTTAAAGACCGAGGATGTTTTCATTCAAAATAACCTTGGCTTCATACAGAAAATATCTATTCTCCATAAACGTTTAGCACAAATATGTGTCTTACTTAGGTTACTAGTTTCAAATAAGTTTTCAAGACTGGAGTTTCGAAGTAATGGATTCTAAATTAGTATCAACATTCCTAACAAACAAATACAATGACATAGTGTAATCTGTCTCAATATTTACTAAAATCTTTAAAGCGAATATCGTATCTGACACTGGTAGCCGTTTCTCTAATTGAGAAGAACAATTAATTTTATCAATAATTTTATCTCACCAGCCTTTGTGAAGTGAATTAATGAGATGTTCACCGTTATATCAAATCGTATGTGAATCAGAACAGACTGTT